CTCAAAATTAAAAATCACAGAGCCGCGTTCGATTTCCAGTCGAATTCGTTACATTCACTTACGCCTATATACCCTTGGGAAAGGTATGAATCCATCTCTTCGCTCTCTAGCTATGAGTTGAATAGCAAGGCAGACTGAGTTCTATAATCCTGGTAGGCAACCAGTCTACCACAGGAAGAAGTGGCAGCCTACTGCGGGAATATCTTCTGCCTAGACAGTCATGGATCGAAATAGACATGATCGCCTAAGAGTGTAACACCTATGGCACTTAACAGGATGAGTATCCTGAAAACGTTTAAGAAGGGTACTTTAAAAAAAAAAAAAAGGCCCAAAATGCACACCAACAATGTAGATTGTATATGATAGGTACTTTCTAAAAAGAAACGAAAATTTTTAAATTTTGGTACCAAAATGTACACAATGTAGATTTTATACGATGGGCACTTTCTATATATATATATAAAAAGCCCGAAAAATCGATTTTAAATAATATAAATGCTTTCTTTGAACTTAAATTCGAATTAAAGGAAAAATTAATAGCCGTATATAAATAAACTTTTTAGTAATTTTCACACATCAAGCCGCCATAGTATACAAAAAATGTAAACATAAAATTTAAAATTCTCTTTAAAATCCAATATTTGCTCAAGAGATGTCTTTCGAAGTCTATTTTCTTAATCATTTCACCCCAAGGAAGGCAATAAATCCACTAGGACGCAAAAGATTACTGAAGTGTTAGAGAATATGAGACAACCTACTATTAAAGACAAAAGACACTAACAGAACAAAATTTAAGGTGACAGAAGATAACTATTGACATTGCATTTGAATTTTTGAAGATGAAAATTGACTGGGAAGCAAGAAGTCGGACGAGAGCTTCACAAGCGAGAAATGCGATTGTTGTGGAGTCCTCCCTCTAAAGAATCTATATTAGACTCTTCCTCATACTATAAGTTTAGTAGAAGAAAAGGAACAGTGAACAGGGAACAGTCGAAAAGATCTGTTCTAGCTCCGGGCAGAGGGTATTCCTTGACGAGGCTATGTCGAAGGGCAGAGTCTCGTCACGGGAAACAGCTACCCGACCCCGTTTTTTAAGGGATCTATTTTTCGCCGAACCTCCGGGCTTGGATTGCCCCACATTAAATTCGGCCTTGTGCCACATCCTACCTCGTGGGGAGGCTGGTAAATCTCAACAGGGAGCAGTCGAATAGATTGAGCGCTCTTTCAATTTGATACATTCTCACTAGTCGTGTAATACTCTTCTGGTGTACTTACTGTTTAATATATCTGCAAACCTGGTTTTTGTTATTACTTGACCATTTACTTGGTCACAACAGAAAGAAAGAATGAAAGAAAGAAAGATTGAAAGAAAGAAAGATTGAGAAAGAAAGATTGAGAAATAAATAAAGAAAGATTGAGAAAGAAGAGTAAACTAAAATAATGGATGAAGCGAAAGAATTGGAAAAGACAGAACAAATAAAGAAAGATTAAAAGAGCGAATGAAAGGAAGAGGAATAAATAATAAATAAATAAAGGATAAAGGAAAAGGAATTGAAAAAGAAAAAAGACTGTAAGGAAGGAAAATCAGAACAGAAAAATGTGAAAAATGAATGTCAGAAAGATAAAAAGAAGAGAAAGAGAGAAGAGTAATAGTAAGATGAAGGATAAAAAGAAAGAAAGAAAGTTTGGGAAAGAAGAATCAAAATAAAATAATGGATAAAAAGAAGGAATTGGAAAAGAAAGATTCAAAGAAAGAAAGAAAGAAAGATTCAAAGAAAGAAAGATTCAAAGAAAGAAAGAACGAAAGATTGAAAGTCAAAATAGAATAATGGACAAAACGAAGGAATTGGAAAAAAAAAAGAAAAATAACGAAAGAATCAAAGAAAGTGTTGTGGTGCTCTCGCTCTCTAAGAGTCTATGTTAGACTCTCCCGCCTGCTATAAAATTAGTAGGAGAGAAGGCTTCGGGGAACAGTGAATGGATTGAGCGCTAGTTCATTCGATACACTCTCACTAGTCGTGAAATACTTTTCTGGTGTACTTACTGTTTAATATACGATATATCTGCAAACCTGTTTTTTGTTATCACTTAATCAGCGATTGAAGAAACTGTTAGCATAGAACTTACAGTTACACCTAGCCATTTCAAATGCAAAATGAGAAGTCCTAACCGCCAATCTAGTACTGCGCTTAAATTCGTAAAGTCTAGGTACCATAGAACCAATGTTTAATTAAATAAAATATATTAATAATGGATCGTTGGTACTTAATTGTTTGTTACCCATATTTTTATATTTTTAAAAACTGCAAAAGTTTTAATCCATAATGATGATTTCGCATCGATTACTTGTCCTTGAAAGACGTAACAAATATTTTACTTATATAGACCATTGTACAATAATATTGTGTTTATATATATATATATATATATATATATATATATATATAAAGAAATATAGTCTTAAGGTGTGCTATATTTATGGGATAAAGTGCTCAATATCAGAGATAGAGCGTGTGAATATAAATATATATAGTGAAATTATACACACAAAACATCGTTCACAAATAGTAAATATGCGAACAGTACTATGCTTTCTAAGTATATCTGGGAAATAAAAAACAAAACGCACATCACACCAAAAATATCTTGGAAGATAAGGAAAAAGTCATCAGCCTACAACAACCAATCAAATCTTGCAAACTTTGCTTGGAGGAAAAAATAGCTATCATTACTTTCCCCGACCAAAATAAATTATTAAATAAAAGATCCGAGCTCATCTCAAAATGCAGGCATGAAAATAAATTTTTACTACGTAACCTAAAAAATGAAAAACGGAAAAAATAAAATAAAACAAATACAATAATAATAATAATAAAAAAAAATAGATAAATAAATAAAATAAATAAATAAATACTATGTTGCTTAAAAACCGAAAACCAAAAAGAGAAAATATAAAAATAAATTGACCTAAATTCATCCAAGTAAATAAATAGGCAAACCAATCCCAAATTAAAAAACTGTTCCGGCCAAAAAAAAAAAAATAATAGTTAGAATGAACTACAACAACCAACCCCAAAATTGAACAAATAGCTTTAATTAAATTCTCAAACCAAAACAAAACTGTTAAATACGTGATATAAACAAATTTTTACTACGTTAATAAATAAATAAATAAAATAAGAAAAAAAAAATAAAAAAATAAAATAAAATAAAATAAAAAATAAATAAAAACGAGCAATATAACTTGACCCAAATAAATGAACAAAAGCGACTTCCGGTAAAAATAACCGCCATAATAGAATACCCACAATGCACCACTAACCCGTATATATATAAATAGCCGAGAAAAATAACAGCACACGTGGCCTGACGATTGCATATAGCATGAAACAGACTGTCGCCTCTAAGTGTTGACTTCTATGTTCACTTTTTTTTTTTTTTTTTTTTAAATTCAGACGACATCCATTCAACCGACGTCAGGTTTCAGTGTAAAATACATCCTCACCCCTTACCAAAATGTAGCTAATAACTGATACAATGATACTGTCATAAGGAAAATCTAGACACCCCGTGTTCAATTTGAGTAGAATATTCTGTAACCATGGAAACGTGATTTTAGCTGTGTATTTAAAACCCAGTAAATTTAAAAGTTACTCCAAAATTCGCTTGAAGATGAAATAGAACTAATGCTTTTAATTTATTTGCAAAAAAACAAAATTAGGGTTTTTAGCTTATATTTTTGAAACATGGTTGGAACTGTGTAGCGAAAATAACCATATTTTTTAAATCAATTAATTTATAATATATATATATATATATATATATATATATATATAAAGAGAGTGAGAAAGAGAAAGAGTGAGAGAGTGAAAGAAGGAAGACGAACAGAGGAAAAAGATGTATATGATGATAATAAGTAAAAAGGAAAGAGGCGTAGAAGAAGAAGAAGAAGAAGAAGATGATGAAAAAGTAGAAGAAGAGGAGAAAGAAGAAAAAGAAGAAGAAGAAGAAGAAGAAGAAGAAGAAGAAGATGAAAAAGTAGAAGAAGAGGGGAAAGAAGAAAAAGAAGAAGAAGAAGAAGAAGAAGAAGAAGAAGAAGAAGAAGAAGATGAAAAAGTAGAAGAGGGGAAAGAAGAAAAAGAGGAAGAAGAAGAAGAGGAAGAGGAAAAAGAAGAAGAAATTAAAAACAAAGTACGCAGAAAGTCGATGAAAATAAAGAATGAGAAAGCATAAATAAATTAGAATAAAATTATAATCAAAAAATAATTTTAAAATGAAGAAAAAGTGAAAAGGCGTGGAAGTAAAAGGAAAAGAAGAAGAATTTAAAAAAGAAGAAATTGAAAGAAAAAATGAAGAAGGGAGAAGTAAATAAGAATGAAAAACGTATGAAAATTATAATAAAAACCTAATCGAAAAATATTTTTAAAATGAAGTAAAAGTGAAAAGGCGTGGAAGTAAAAGGAGAAGAAGAAGAATTTCAAAGGAGGGGAAGAAGAAATTGAAAGCAAAAAATGAAAAAAGGCGAGGGGAGTAAGAATGAGAAAACATAAGAAAATTAGAATAAAAATATAATCGAAAAATAATTTCAAAATGAAAAAATGTGAAAAGCTGTGGAAGATGAAGGAAAAGAAGAATAAAACGAAAACAAAAATGAAGAAAGGCAAAGAAAATAAGAATGTGAAAAAAGAAGAAAATTGGAATAAAAAAATAATCGAGAAATACTTTTAAATTTTAGGAAAAGTTAAAAATCATGAAAGAAGAAGAAGAAGAAGAAGAAGAAGAAGAAGAATTTGTAAACAAAGGATGAAGAAAGGCAAAGAAAATAAGAAGTGAAAAATATTTTTAAAATGAACAAAAAAGTGAAAAGGTGTGGAAGAAAAGGGAAAAGAAGAAGAATTTTAAAGAAGAAGAAAAAATTGAAAAAAAAATGAAGAAAGGCGAAGAAGATGAGAATCAGGAAACAAGAAAAATTAGAACAAAAATGTAATCGAAAAATAATTTTAAATGAAAAAAAGTGAAAAGGCGTGGAAGTAAAAGTAAAAGAAAAAGTATCTTAAAGAAGAAGAAGAAAAATTGAAAGAAAAAATGAAGAAAGGCGAAGAAAATAAGGAAAACATAAGAAAATTGAATAAAAATGTAATGGAAAAATAATATTTAAATGAAGAAAAAGTGAAAAGGTGTGGAAGTAAAAAGAAAATAAAAAGTATCTTAAAGAAGAAGAAGAAGAAAAAATGAAAGAAAAAATGAAGAAAGCCGAAAAAAATAAGGATAAGAAAACATAAGAAAATTGAATAAAAATGTAATGGAAAAATAATATTTAAATGTAAAAAAAATGAAACGTCGTGGAAGTAAAAAGAAAAGAGGAAGAATTTTAAAGAAAAAGAATAAGAAATTGAAAGAAAAAGTGAAAAAGGTCGAAGAAAATAAGAATGAGAAACTATGAGAGGAAAACTGGAATAAAAAAGTAATCGAGAAATACTTTAAAAATTAAGAAAAAATGAAAAGTTGTGAAAGAAGAAGAAAAAGAAGAAATTGTTAACAAAGGATGAAGGAAGGCGAAGAACAAATGAATGAGAAAAAATATGACAGTTAAAATTAAAATGTAATCGAAAAATAATTTTAAAATGAAGAAAAGGTGAAGAGTCCTAGAAGAAGAAGGAAAAGAAGAAGAGGTTTAAAGAAGAAGAAGAAACTGAAAACAAAAAAGAATGCGAATAAAATAAGAATGAAAAACATAAGAAGAAGTGAAATAGAATAAAGAAGTCATTGAAAAATAATTCAGTACTGAAGAAAAAGATGTAGAAGCGTGTAAAAAGAGTGAAAAGAAGAAGGAAAATAAGAAGGAAAAGAAGAAGAATTTTTAAGGAGAAGAAGAAATTCAAAACGAAGGCGAAGAAAATAAGAATGAAAAACATAAGAAGAGGAGAAATAGAATAAAAATGTCATTGAAAAATAATTCAAAAATGAAGAAAAAATGTAGAGGCGTGTAAGAAGAAGTTCAAAGAAGAAGTTCAAAGAAGAAAGAAAAGAAAAAGATTAAAAAGATAATCTAGGAAAAAGAAAAATGAATGACGAAGGAAAAGGAAACAAAGAATTAAAAGAAAAGGATGAAAAAATTATAAAGAGGAAATGTTGTAGGAAAGTATAAAGCAAAGAATGGAATAAAAAAAAAAAATTAAAAAGAAAAAATATATGAAAGAGAATATAAAAAAGAACCTCCAATACAAAAAGAAGCACTTTCATCCAGCCCCCCAGACACTCGTAAGTACTTCGTCGTACGGATAAGTGGCGTCTTTGTTGCGCCAATCGTATGCATAGAATCATGTTTACTCATAAAAAGTCATAATACACACGCAGACGTGCTAGCCCGAGCAGGTCTACCCCCGTCTTAGACGCAGTTGTAAAAGCCAAGTAATAGCGGGATAAAAAGCTCAGTCGGTGTTTGTTTCCGACCGACGTTTTGTTTCGTTTCGCCGACAACATCCTTTTCCGTAGTCAACCACTCGGAGCAACCCTGGCCAACCTGGGACACGATTTATGCATCTGAATGTTTAATAGGGCAGAGGCGTAAAAGAATGGGGTGTCCGCATTTGAGTAAAATGAAGTGGCCTTATTTTCTTTTCTTTTTTTCGACTTATTCATTTTTTTCTTTTTTTTTTTTTTTTTTTTTTTTGCTCGTGACCGGGAGAAGAGCGTGTTCCGTTTTTGTCATTGTCGGTTGGGACAAGTGGAAATGGTGCAAGATTTTAGTAATTGCAATCTGTAAAGAAAGGAAAATCGGTTTAGTAGGAAAGAAAAGAAGGAACGAGTGAAAAAAAAAAAAGATAAAGGGACGAAGTAAGGAAGAAGAAAAGAGCCAAGCGATGAAAATAAACGAAAAAAAAATTACATAGAAGGAAATATCGAAATATTAAAAAAAAAAGAAAGAAAATGGTTGATATATAACGTAAAAGAACGGAATAAACTGAAAAACGTGAAGACGATGTCCAAGACAGAAACGTAAGGGAAAAGAATGAAAGAAAACCGTTATCTAAGAAAAAGCTTAAAGAAAGAAAGAAACAAACAAAGAAACAAAGAAACAAAAAAGAAACAAAGAAAGAAATTGAAAAAGACAATGAGAATATGATAGGGAGGAATGAAAGAAAAGAGTTATCTAAGAAAGAAATAAAGACAGAAAAAAAAGAAAAAATAAAGAAAAGAAAAGACACAGATCATAAATCAGTGAAGCAAAAATGAAGGCAAGAATGAAAGAAAACAGTTATCTAGGAAAAATACTTAAGAAAGAAAAAAAAGAAAAAGATAGAAAGCGAAAAAACTGTGAAAGAAAAAAGAAGGTAAGAATAAAAGAAAGCCATTATATAAAAAAACGTCTAAAGAAAGAAAGAAAGAAAGAAACCGCAAAGACAGAGAAAGAAAATGAAGGGAAGAATGAAAGAAAACAGTTTTCTAAGAAAAAATCCTAAATAATTTAATAAATAAATAAATAAAGAAAAAAAGAAAGAAAGAAAAATTTAGAAAAATATACAACGTATATATACTTATTTTTGTATACTTATCTAAATTTTTTCCTTCTTTTCTTTCTTTATTTCTTTAATTATTTAGCATTTTTTCTTAGGTTATCTAAAAAATATCGTAAATAAATAAATAAAGAAAGAAAGAAAGAAAGAAAGAAAGAAAGAAAGAAAGAAAGAAAGAAAGAAAGAAAGAAAAAAAAAAGAAAGAAAGTCAAATAATAAGAAGCGGTGAAAGGAAGTTGGACGAATCAAAGAAAGAAAGAAAGAAAGAAAGAAAGAAAGAAAGAAAGAAAGAAAGAAAGAAAGAAAGAAAGAAATCAAATAATAAGAAGCGGTGAAAGGAAGTTGGACGAATCAAAGAAAGAAAGAAAGAAAGACAGAAAGGGATAGAAAATATAGAAAACGCAAAAACGGTGAAAGAAAAGCGATTGGAAGAATAAGAAAAAAACGAAAGAAAGAAAGAAGAAAAAAGGAAAGGGATGAAAAAAATATAGACACCGCAAAGACAGTGAAAAAAAAGAATGGAAAAAACAGTTGCCTAAAAGAAATGCTAAACTAAACTAGAACTGAAGAACGTCAAGTAATCAAATCAAAGGCAAACAGTAAATTGCATAAGAACAAAGAAATTGAAAACAAAGAAAATATTTTATAATAAGGAAGGACAAAAGTGAAAAAAAAACAAATTGAAGAATAAAAAAAATGAAATATCAAAAAAAAATTAGACATAATGGCAATAATGACTGAAAGTATTTATATAAATAAAATTTTAAAATGTCTAATCTATATCTCTGTATTGTCCGTATTTACTATTCGGTGTTGTCTATCTTAGTCTGAATGATTTTGTTTTAACACAATTGTTTTTTATCGCTATTTATCGGAAACCAGTTTCACTTTTTAAGTATCCTCTGCGTAAATGCCTGCATTTCGTTTACAATTTCTTATGTTTGCTATTTGAAGTATATGTGACGATTTCTGGATGATTTTTTTCACTTTTTTTATTTCTCTTCATTTTTTTTTATTTACTTTCGTCTCTGTCTATTTGTTACATTTTCCTGGTTTTATCATTTTTTTTTCTTTTTTATTGATATTTTTTGTTCAGTTTTCTTTCAGTGTTTTTATATTTTTTTTCTTTCATTTATTCACAACACCAGCTTCTCTTCCCTTTCTTTTGACATTCATTTATTTTGTAACGGCTGTAATTCTTTTTTTTTATTCAAATAGATTCTCCTTCAAGTGTTCCTTCGTATCATTGACAAATATTAAAAGCTCATAAAATGCAAATTATTTCAATATGGCGTCAGGCAATTTTCACTAACTGAAAGACAAAATTCGCAATTCTGGCAGTGTTTTTTTTTTTTGTTTGTTTTGTTTTGTTTTGTTTCATTCTTCTATTTAATTTTTTTTTTCTTTTCTATTCTTAGAAATCCTAGATTATTATTTTATGGCCATCTGTTGTGTCTTTCCGCCAGATTCCTTTTATTTACGGCTTTTAATTTCCTCTCAGCTATTGATAAATATGTTTTCTTTCAAAATCAAATTAAATCAGCTGTTTAAAAATTACTGATTAGTACGTTGTCGTTCGAAATTTTAAGAGATTGGAATCCGGGACTAAATTCACATTAAACTCGCATATCAAATTTTAATTAACTATAATATGTGGGAATATAAAAATTTTGATTAACTATCTTCTCAAATTTAAAATTAATTATCTTATATGGCAATATAAAACTTATAACAAAAGAAAAATCATGATTTGGAATTATTAAAAATTATAATATATAAAAATTATATGTCGCAATATAAAATATATAATATATAAAAATTATATGTGACAACATAAAAATTATAATATATAAAAAAATTATATGTGGCAAGGATAATTAAAATTATAATATATAAAAATCATATTTGACAATATAAAATAATAATATATAAAAATTATATGTGACAATATAAAAAAGTATAATATATAAAAATTATATGTGGTAATATAAAAATTATAATATATAAAATTATATATCGCAATATAAAAATAAATAAAATATAAAAATTATATGACAATATATAAAATTATATAATATATAAAAAATTATAATATATAAAATTATATGTGGCAATATAAAAATTATAATATATAAAAATCATATGTGACAATATAAAATTATAATATATAAAAAATTATATGTGACAATATAAAAGTATATAATATAAAAAATTATATGTGGCAATATAAAATTATAATATATAAAAATTATATGGGCAATATAAAAATTATAATATATAAAAAATTATATGTGACAATATAAAAATTATAATATATAAAATTATATGTGACAATATAAAAATTATAATATATAAAAATCATATTTGGTAATATAAAAACTATAATATATAAAAAATTATATGTGGCAATATAAAATTATAATATATAAAAATCATATGTGACAAATATAAAATTATAATATATAAAAAATTATATTATGACAATATATAAAAAAGTATAATATATAAAAATTATATGTGGCAATATAAAAATTATAATATATAAAAATCATATGTGACAATATAAAATTATAATATATAAAATTATATGTGACAATATAAAATTATAATATATAAATATTATATGTGACAATATAAAAATTATAATATATAAAAAATCATATTTGGTAATATAAAAACTATAATATATAAAAAATTATATGGCAATATAAAAATTATAATATATAAAAATCATATGTGACAATATAAAAATTATAATATATAAAAATTATATGTGGCAATATAAAAATTATAATATATAAAAATCATATGTGACAATATAAAATTATAATATATAAAAAATCATATATGACAATATAAAAATTATAATATATAAGAATTATATGTGACTATAAAATTATAATATATAAAAATTATATGTGACAATATATAAAATTATAATATATAAAAATCATATGTGGCAATATAAAAACTATAATATATAAAAATTATATGTGACAATATAAAATTTATAATATACAAAAATATATAAATGCGGTAATATCAAAATGATATATAAAAATGTAGGTATTTGTTTACACGATTTACATTGTTTGGACTGTTGTCTTCACCTTTATAGTTGGACTTACAACGTTTCGGCCGTTGTACGCTCCGGCCCTATTCAGGTGATATCTTGGAATTTATAACCGAACTAAATGCATGGTAGTAATTCGATCAATTACACTGGGTTCGGTTCAAAATTTCAACAAATATCACCTGAAGAAGGCCGGGGCGTACAACGCCCGAAACGCCGTGAATATGGCCCTAAGGATGAAGACAACAGTTCAAGCGATGTAAATAGTGTAGAGATAGATCCTGAAGACGGTCGGAGCGTACAACGGTCGAAACGTTGTGAATATGGCAATAAAGATGAGGACAGCCGTCCGAACAATGTAAATAGTTACAATAACTCATTGCAGAAATATAGAGAGATGTAAGTATTTGGGTTTTAATTTTTTAGGTTGCTGCACTACTTAAATAAACTGGTCCTCTTGTTAAAATTAGTGAAAATCTACTAATGCTAGATTTTTTTAAACAGATTTAGAAGTGGGACTTGTTGAAAATATAAGTGCAGTTTAAAATCTATCCTTCATTCTTACAGAATTATTGGACTTATCTGTTAAGTTGGAAACTGTTCTCATGTCAGGCACTGCTGATAACGCGAAACAATTGAATCGCAAACGCCACGAATCATTTCGTTCGGTATTTCTACGCATTCTCGTTCAAAAACTGCCCTCAATTCGTCGATTTTTGCTCGTTTTACACCGTAAACTTTATTGGACAGAAAGCGACAGGGCCAGAACCATGCCCCCGACGTCCTGAGGGGACACAGCACACAAAGAAGAAGAAATGGACTGTTATGTAGGACCAGTCCTCCTCTATGGCAGGGAATGCTGGACAATCTTCTCACAGAAAGAAACTCTGATGTGGTTCTATAGAACGATTCTGAGAATTCCAAGGGCCGAGCGTGTCAGCAACGTTCCAGAGACAATGCCAGCAAAAATACATTTGTACTTAATATTAGAAAGAAACAGTTGAAATTCCTGGAAACATAATGAGGAAAGAAGGCTTGGAAAATTTGATACTCACAGGATAGATTAGATTTAAGAGAGCCAGAAGAAAGCAACGCACAAAATACATGGCGAGCTCGAAAGAATAGGTGGCAGAAGAAGATTTTGGAGAGGCGGCAAAAAGACAAAAATTATTAAGAGCTTCAAAGGATAGGAAATTGTGGAGAGCCATGATCTCCCACATCCTGAAGAGACACGGCACATACAAAAAGAGGAACTAAGTTGAGTAAATGAATGGCAGAACAGGATTTAGGAGAGATAACAAAAAGAGAAAATTTCTTAAGACCTTCAAAGGACAGGAAATTGTGGAGAGCCATGATCGCCCAAATCCTGAAGGGACACGGCACATAGAAGAAGAGGAACCGAGTAAATGAATGACAGAACAGGGTTTAGGAGAGATAACAAAAAGAGAAAATTTCTTAAGACCTTCAATGGACAGGAAATTGTGGAGAGCCATGATCGCCCAAATCCTGAAGGGACACGGCACATAGAAGAAGAGGAACTGAGTAAATGAATGACAGAACAGGATTTAGGAGAGATAACAAAAAGAGAAAATTTCTTAAGACCTTCAATGGACAGGAAATTGTGGAGAGCCATGATCGCCCAAATCCTGAAGGGACACGGCACATAGAAGAAGAGGAACTGAGTAAATGAATGGCAGAACAGGATTTAGGAGAGATAACAAAAAGAGAAAATTTCTTAAGACCTTCAATGGACAGGAAATTGTGGAGAGCCATGATCGCCCAAATCCTGAAGGGACACGGCACATAGAAGAAGAGGAACCGAGTAAATGAATGGCAGAACAGGATTTGGGAGATAACAAAAAGAGAAAATTTCTTAAGACCTTCAATGGACAGGAAATTGTGGAGAGCCATGATCGCCCAAATCCTGAAGGGACACGGCACATAGAAGAAGAGGAACCGAGTAAATGAATGGCAGAACAGGATTTAGGAGAGATAACAAAAAGAGAAAATTTCTTAAGACCTTCAATGGACAGGAAATTGTGGAGAGCCATGATCGCCCAAATCCTGAAGGACACGGCACATAGAAGAAGAGGAACTGAGTAAATGAATGACAGAACAGGGTTTAGAGAGATAACAAAAAAGAGAAAATTTCTTAAGACCTTCAATGGACAGGAAATTGTGGAGAGCCATGATCGCCCAAATCCTGAAGGGACACGGCACATAGAAAACGTAAATTTTTTCTTTTAAGTAACCCCATGAAATGTTTAGTGGTTATAGGGTCTGGAGAACGCGGAGTGCATTCTTTTATTTTCTTTTTATGTGTCGTCTCTCTTCAGGATATAGAGGCGATCATGGCTCTCCACTTCTCCCCCATCCCTTGTAGCTCTCAATAAGTTTTGTCCCTCTGTTACTTCCTCCAGGCCACGTTCTGTCTTATCTACTTCCTTAAGCCCGCTAGGTATGTCATACGTTGCTTTTC